CTCCTAAAAGCAACCCATTCTGCCCTAATGCTCAATTATACATTTTATACACCTGTGGTGATGGAAGTGCTTGGAACACCTGAATGTAATGATTTGGCTTGATGAGTGAATACTCACCAATAAAAGAAAAAATCTGTGCCTACTGCTCAGCACCGAAGTCCACCAAAGCTTGTAAAGACAGAGAATCTTTTTTAACACACATGCATCAGGTAATATCATGTGAGGTGAGGTGGAGCTGCTTGGGAGGGAAGCATGGATGACAACCAATCACGGACTGACTGTATTATATTGAACATTTGCTCCCGGCACTGTTGTTCAGTCATTAACAAGAGGGCTTGATAGTCTGGGCCCAGCAAGGCACCTTGCACAGTTTGGCCTGTTGAAATTAGATTCGAGTCATGTAATGACACTTTCCAGTAAAAAGAGTAATTACTTTATTTGACCATATTACCATCATTTATCCTGCTGATTTGTCATGTAGCACAACTGCTTTTCTGAGTCATTACAGACAACCTGCTTTTAAGGCTTCATCAGAAGATTCTGACATTTCCTTCTGTCTTAGGAGCAATTCACATGATACTTATCTAAGTACTGCAAAATTAAACTGCTAGAAGCTAAGGCTTTATTCAGTAATGGAGACACAACTTACTGACAGGCTAAAAAACCCCGCTAGACATCTTTATCCTTATAAATAACATTTCATCCAGTCTTCTGCAAAGATTTTGTGCACTGCAGAATAAGAAAAATGGTCTGATATTGCACAGGTGTCTACTCCATGATTTCATATGAAAAGCTGCCATCTTGAATAATACACAAGATAGGGACCGTCTCAAATGTGTATTCAAAATAGTCTGCAGACAAAGAGCCTCCTTTAAAAATCTGTCACTATATATCGTGCTGCTTGTTTAATAAGGGTGGTTAAAATGGCTAAAGTGATTAATAGTAGTTCAAATATGAGAGCTGAGTCATTATAAGTGGTGACAATAACTTGATATTTTGGAGAAGGTCAACCAGACTAAATGTAACTAAATAAATAAATTTAACTTTGTAACTCAGTAATTATTATTTTCTTTGTTCCTAAAGTGCTAACTGGAACTTTATTCCAGTTTTTGGAAAAACTGTATACACATATATACACACACACACACACATATATATATATGTGTGTGTGTGTGTGTGTGTATGTATATATATATATATATATATATATGGTGAAAAGTTGAATTCAGTCTTAAGAAATGCTACTAGACATGTTTGCTGAGAAAATTGTTTTTCAACAGATA